TTGATCCTTCGCGTACACTCACCTCCACTTCGGGACCTTGTTTCTTTGCCCATTTGTTGACCTTCCTTAACTTTTCATTCATAGTCGTGAATGGATTTCGAATAATGGCATAGTACTCCCAGCGAGACAGAAAACTTACATGCCTGCAAAATAAAAGCAACTCAAACGGTCTTAAATGTGTATTAAACAATGTGAGACTTCAAAATTTTATTGCAAAAGACTCAAAACTTTCTACAAAAGAGATTGCAAAAATGAGTGTTTGCAAAAGTTTTGCAAAAGTTTAAGCCTTTTTTGGCGAGCTTTCGGCGCTTAGCGCCTTTGTCGAGCCTGAAATGAAAATTATAAGCTTTCTTAAAGTCTGTTAATATATTAAAATATATTAACTGACCCACCTGCTGTCCACTTTCAAAAGTGTAACACTTACCACCCTTGTCGGTCTGTGAAGCAGGAACTCAACGGTATCATCAACACTGAAGAAACTTGATGTAGAGCTCTGTCGATATAGATAGATAGCTCTCGCTCGCAGTCAATAATTTTGATAGGTTTGCTGTCTTTCGGTACTTTCTGACCTTTCCGTGTAGTGATTTTCACCTGCTAAGCAAGGTATGGCCACTGAGCCCGTAATATGTGATTTGTGGAGTTACGTCGCTCCGCCCATGGGGAAGATCTATGCCTGACGTGTCCACACTAAACGATATCACAACATACTGCATTTACTCTCGTTAACGTCCAGCCAACTCGTACTCCCAAATAAGGAAACGTTTTGTCAGTACACTGTTTTTTTTCGAAATTCGTTCGTATGCTGATTTTTGGTAAGTATTTTTTGATGACCAACATAGTGGCTGTCGAAAATAAGTGTGGGTAACAAATTTTTTAGCACCACCTCTTTCCCACCATATGAGACGTCCCTACTACTCTCATGGAGCTCCTCTGCTGAATTAGCCCTATGGTCGTCTTACCTTGCTTTCCACTGAAAAAATGTCTTTCTTTAATCTTTCCACAATCGCTGAGCATTTTGCTTCCACCCGAAAATCTTTCGAAAAATCCGTCTGAGATTAGGTTACCTTACCAAAAGCGGCCCGCACCCATTCCCTCTCTCCTAAACATCCACGAATAGGCCCCGTCGTTGGCAGGCTAACGTATGGCCGACTCCGGTCACAGTTCCACCGAGAATCAGCTGATAGCGAGGCAAACTGTTGATTCTATCCATGCTCTTGTTTGTGACACTATTTCAGGTCAAGCACCAGTACCATGTGCTTTGTAGTAGGCAGAGGGGTGACCAATGCAAACACGGATAAGGATAGCAGAGCACACCGTTCCCGTTCAGGACATTATCGTTTCCGGCGCTATCGCAATAAACGGGGCATCCTCTAGGATTAAGCCTAAGAGGAGTTCCAGGAAATGAAAACGGTCACGTGCCTTGAAGTCTCTCCTCCACCGCCTAAGGCTTAGTTCCGTTTAACAAAAAAGACATGTTTTACGCGGTTTCAAATGCATTGGCGTCACAATGCCCCCATATATTGCGATAGCGCCTTCTTTAGCATTTTCTCGTGTTGTTTGCTGTAGGCCGGACTTCTAAAGTGGCGAAAACGCTGGGCACGATTGCTACTCTCAAACGGTCTCTCTGACGGATTCCCACACTGACAGCTCAATAAATAATGAGATAACATAAATCAGTAATCGTAATAAACTTCATCCTGGGGTAAAGAGAGTTATTCGCTTACGTAAGGTTCAAATTTTTAACTCACTTTAGGAACGCGGGCATTTTGTGATGAAACGGCCAGAGTGCCAAACGGCCTGTGTCTAACGACGAGTTCTGGTCACGACCGGGTGGCCACAGGCATGGCAAAAATTCCGGAGGGCTACCGTCGTTCTTAGTTTCGGCCCCATTCCATCCATCAGCGCTTGAGGCGCCAATAGCGACGATAGCGACGAAGAGAAGTGATTTCATCTGAAATCAAGAGGAACTTTAGCCGAATTAGGCTGGGGACGTTCAGTTCTCCTCCTGGGTCAGGGCATCAGAGCTGCGCAATGATTGAAGCTGGAGGTTAGACTTGGGCTTGAGCTTAGGCTTATGCTTCAGCAGGGTAATGCAGGGTATCAGCAATCTAACTGCCGTTACAAGCAAATCTGAGGTGTCAAAGACCCGAATTAAGTCAAGGCTGGATTAGTTAGATGAATGTTACGTCGCGAGTAAGGAGACAAATCGAACAAAGACAATATTCACAGGAAGACTAAGGTAAAAAGTAGCACCTAAGCAGAAAACAAATTCGCCACTTCTTTTCTCTGCATTTATGAGGAACTCAACAGGAGGTTCTACCAGAGTCTGTGGGAAGTTTACCAGGCTATTCAAACGAATGACTAACTCTATAAACACAAACTCGTATAGATGACTTGAATAACACGAGATTAAATGCAAGGAATCGTCACATCAACAACACGATAAGAAATTGGACGGTAGACAACAAGCACTCATCGTGGGGTCAGACATTACAATATGTAGCCTCGTGTTTTTATTTTCAAATTCTTACTTCCCGTGAGTTCACCGTTACTCTGGAAATGACTCACGACTGATAGAGTTATCACATCTTTATCTTCTCTCTTTACTATCTATCATGTAGAAGCTTTGAACAAAGCGATTTGGAAAATTATTAAAGGAATCTTCCCCGCCTCCATTACCAAAAAAATACGATA